AAAAAAACTAGCTCAAAATGACCTCAATCCAAATAAACCGAGTTTGGACAAAACCTCATAAAAATGCATAACACATGACCATTTTTGCAGTTTTGTCTAAAAAAAAAACCTTAAATGTATATTTGAAGAAACGTAAAAAAAAGATTTATTAAACGTTAGCATGAGCATGTACTCGTCCTAAATTCTTACAACCGAAACCATAAACCAAAGTTTTTGGTATACTAGAATAGGAATCGTGTTTGAGAAAAAAAAATTGTAACCCATAGCCAAATCGAAAACAAAAATTGTACTGGTTTAATTAACAAAAAAACTAAAATACTAAAAAAAAAATCGGTAGTTTTCTTTATAAACAAGAGTCTATTTGCATAAATATTTAAAAGTAAAACGAAAACAAAATAAAATAAATAAATATATCTAATTTACTCGGAATTGTAGTCTAAACAAAAAAATTAAATAATAAGTTTAATTAAATAATTGATTTAATAAAAAATATTAATAATTATAAACAAAACTACTATAAAAAATAAAAATAAAAATAAAAACAAAACCAAAAACAAAACATGATTAGATAGATTTGAGTTGGGGTCTTTATTAAGAAATGAAACCAGATTTTTTTTTTAAGAAACCCCTTTGAAAATAGAGTTAGGATTCGTACATACTTGTAATACTCCATCCTTCCTATCAATTTGTTAGTTCCTGGTTATAGGCTTTATATAATACCCTTACATGCTTTTATTATTTTCTTTTCTATATAACTTTACCTAAATTTTGATATAAAAAAAATAGCATAAGAATGATAAAGTTATAGTGATAGTAACTTAAATAATGTCAATTCTGTTTGTAGACGGGATAGTTGCACATGTCAATTGTGTGTATCTAGACGGGATAGTAGTATAGGAGCACCCCGATGAGTAATTAAGGACTAGATTAATTGAAACACTTAGAAAGATCGACATCAAGGTTTCTTCATGTTCTTCTCATATTTGGCGCTAACTGTTAGTCAACAGGGAGTCTGATATCCTCCGCCATCATCTCTTCTCCGGCGAACTTCTTTCAGCCACATTTCGAAGAAGACAAGATAGACATTTACAGAATGGCAGGTGGTTCTTCGTCATCATTTTTCTCTCAGTTTTGGTCTTCAGCGCTCCGAAGTAAACCAACACTTCGTAATTCATCTCATGTCATCCTCGCAAACCCCGCCGGTGGTCTCGTACGCCGTCTTGGACCTTTTGACTTGCTTTTATTAGGCATCGGCGCTTCTATTGGCGCCGGTATCTTCGTCGTCACCGGCACCGTCGCCCGCGATGCTGGTCCTGGTACGTTTCATCTGACAATTCAAACCTTTCATCGTCGAACTTATCTGTAATTAATAGTTTTCATCCATAAGAATCCAAACGAAAGCATAAGTAATTGATCATGTCTTCCATGATGATTCCACAGGAGTTACAGTTAGCTTCCTATTGGCAGGAGCATCGTGTATTCTGAATGGGCTATGCTATGCTGAACTAGCTTCTCGTTTTCCTGCAGTCGTTGGGGGAGTATACATGTATACGTACACAACTTTTAATGAGCTCACTGCTTTTCTTGTATTTGCACAACTGAATCTTGATGGTCATATTGGTGTGGCTAGCATAGCCCGTAGCTTAGCTAGCTACATAGTTAATATATTAGAGCTCATACCCTCTGTAAAAGATAATATTCCAAATTGGGTTGGACATGGTGGTGATGAAATCTTTGGGTTTCTATCCATCAATATATTGGCTCCAATCCTTCTACTACTTTTGACCATAATTCTTTGTCGTGGTGTTCCAGAATCTACCCTATTAAATTCCATCATGACCATTACCAAGGTTATATATCGATCCATGCATCCTAACTATATATTATTATCCTTCAGATATATTATGTATTTATTTAAACTTTGGGTGATGTGATATGACACAGGTAACTATTATTCTTGTGGTCATCATTGTTGGTGGTTTTGAGGTAGATGCTTCAAACTGGTCACCTTTTGCTCCAAATGGTTATAAACCCATGTTAACTGGGGCGACTACAGCTTTTTTCGCATATGTTGGATTTGATGCAGTTGCTAATTTAGCCGAAGAATCTAAAAGACCACAGGTACGTACGTATGACGTATCATAAAATTAAGATCCAGGATCTTCTTCCTTAATTTGTCCGATTATTTGAAGGATTTTTAAGCGTTTCATGTTTGTTTCCATGCATCAGAGAGACCTACCAATAGGCATGATTGGGAGCCTTGTTGTTTGTCTTGTATTATACATGGGAGTTTGCTTAGTTATAACAGGTATGGTGCCTTATAAATTGCTTGGAGAAGATGCTCCGTTGGCAGAAGCATTTAAATCCAAAGGGTTGAACTCTGTATCAGTCTTGATCAGCATTGGTGCCATTGCAGGGCTTACAACCACTCTACTTGTTAGCCTTTATGTTCAGGTATATATATGTTATATATATATATACATATATATATATATGTTTTTGTTATCAATTCGTTAGTTAGTAATCATATATATCGATCTATCCATAAGTTTAGTCTCGCATGTATGTTGGGATTGGAAGGGATGGTTTGCTACCTGCGATATTTAGTAAGGTTCATCCAACGCGCCACACTCCAATTCACTCTCAAATCTGGGTTGGAGTTGTTGCCAGTATTTTGGCTGGGCTGTTAAACGTCGATCTGCTATCACATATTCTCTCCGTTGGAACACTGGTATGCATGCATACATGTTATTTCTAATTTTAAACAAATTAAGTTATATATTATTCTGAATGACATCATAAAGTTTTAATTTCTACATGCATGCAGACATGTTATTCCGTTGGGGCAGCATGCGTGATGACTCTTCGCTGGGATGATATTGATGATGATGATGTTGATAGTACTGATCAAGTCTCAACCATGTCGAGGATGACAGACATCATCGTGATTGCTTCTTGTGGTTTTGCTGCTGGAATTATATACCGTTACAGTGATTCAACTCTTGAGTATATGTTTCTTATCTTACCCATCGCTATTGCAGTCCTTGCGTTTGCAGATCTTCAATTCGGGCAGGTAAAAGTCATATATAGTCAATTACAGCTACGGCCTTTAGCATTTTCATAATGGAGTTTATACCGGCCCCTTCTTAAGCATTTCTATTAGACAACCAGAAACTCATAAGTATCAAAGATCAAAGAGTAATTCCAGAAGAAAACTTGAAAGATCCGCAAACTTCTTTCACAACTTTTATTAACAAAACTCTTATGTAGAAAGTAAGGAGTTACTAAGCTGGTAAAACGTTTTAAAGAGTTTATCAACAAGAAACAACACCAGAAACGAAAATGACAAATGAATAATGATCCAAATGAGATATTTTCTGAATATTTGCATCCTGCTCCTCTAGCTTCCATCAACTTGTCATTCCAGCCCTGGAATCAGAGACTCACGTTCAACCCTTTAAGTTCCAGCAATACATCTAAAGAAACCCCAGTAAGTCGGTAACATTATACACAATAAAACAAAGTAAATTAATAAACCAAACTTAACATCTAACAACCCTTTGCTAGATAAGACTGAATATTTGTATATAACATATTATAATACTAGTTGTATATTATAATACTAGTTGTGAGACCTATGTATTATAATACTAGTTGTGAGACCTATATATTACATGAGTTTATTTAAAAAAATATTAAATATAAAAACTAAACATTTGAAAAGTTTAAATGTATAAGGAAAATGAGAAAAATATTGAATTATTAAAATTGAAGTGTTTTTTTCTCTTTTAGAAAGAAAGTATTAATAAAATTGATATGCATTTATTATTACATTTATTACAATTATTACATTTAATTGTTATGTGAATTTAATAAAATGAAAAAAAACAATAAATGACATTTGAAAAAAATAATTTAAAATAACCATAAAATGACATGTGACAAAATGAATGAGAGTATACCATGTGTCAAAAATGATTTTTATTTATTAGAATAGAATTTTGACAAGATCATTTGGTAAAGCTAAATGATAAATATAATACCACTTTAAAACAATTCGACAACAAGTATTTTTTTTATGAGAGCATGTATATGGTTTTGCATCATTTTATTTGAGATTGTTGTGATTTGTGGGAGTCAATCGGCTTTTCATTCGATTCGTTTGAAAATCAATCCCAACAAGTAGCATTAGAGCTTTTAGGTGTGGTATCTATTTAATGGTTCACTTTTGATTTTAGGGTTGGCATATTTGTAGTGCACATCAGGTGTTTAATAGAATGTGTGAATCATCATAGAACATAATTGCTATTGCAACTTCGTCATATTTGTATGTGAAAGGATCGTATTCTACCACGAGCACTCAAACTGAAAAGTGGAATGACAATGGAAGATGAAAGCGTGTTGACTGATAGTTGGTGCCACTTAGTCATATACTTTGTATTTTTTTAAGGACAAACTATTTCATGAGCAAGTATTTTATCAAGTATGCCCGACTACCATATATACGGATTACAATGACGCTGACACTAAACATCTGTGCACTTATAGAACCGAGAGTGTCCAGAGTGTTAAGTGCTTCAACATATTAACAAATAGTTTCTACATTTGCTTATGAGCCCATATAGAAAGACATCTATCTGCAAAACATGAAATGTATGAAACTAACATGAAATCATGAAACAATGGAGATTGTTGTATTCAGAAGGATTCTATATTTCATTTGTCTCGGAGTATGGTTTAAATGTTGGTTTAAACCATTACACCATAAATTAGAAGGATTCCCAAATTTATGAAACTCATTAATACACAATACATATTACCAACTAGCAAAAATAAATAAATGATATTCTACCCAAATACATCATGAAACACATATGATATTTTACTAAAATTCATGCCCAGATACAAAAGAAACACCTCCTAATCTTTGAATCTTATTATAAGCCTAATATCTGAGACCCTAATCTGTCTAACACACCCACAAATAATATTCTAGAACAAATCATCAACCATAAGTTTTCTACATAAACAACATGTAGTTTTCTAGGCGCTTAAACCATTAAAAACACCAAAAAAACCCTAAACTTACAAAATCCTCAACCAAAATATATTACCAACCACATTAATACTATGGTTTAAGCATTTTACCTTGAATTAGTGAACACTAATTACAAGAAATTCCATTTTAATGCCACCAATCAGCATAGTTCAATAATTCTCCAAAATCGCCCAATATGAGAGTGAGTTGTAATAAATGAGTTCATCGTGTAACTAATGTCATTGTATCCTACTTGCACGCGACTTGCTACACGACATGCAATTTACTTAGCAAGTAGTATAGACCTTACTCGAAGCCTTTTGTGTTATGTGAATTTCCTTATGACCTGCAAAAGTCACTGACCAATTTGCCTACACATGTACACTTCACCATTTTGTAAAACCTCAATATGTTTGCATATATTAAATCCTCAAAACATTAGATGTCACTTAGGCATATAAAATGGAAGTTTTTGGATCATACATGTGGCGAGCCTCTCGAAGGGGTTCTGAGCCAAGTTTGTTACTAGTCATACCATGAATCAGATTATGTGGTCGTTCATTGACAAAACGCTTCTCATGGAAGTATGGATTTGTAAAAACAGATTCTTGAGTTATTTTAGTATATTTGCGTGCATAGTATATTTGCAAAAAATGGGCAAATAAAATTTGGATCCATGTGTTATTCGTGGACTCTTACTTAGTTTTCTAAAGGGAGTGAAGGGTTATAAGACTTGGTTATCCGATAAAAAGAACATTAATCATTCTCGATATGTCACTTAGTAAAACATTCTTTCTCATTCCACTAAGTCCTTTGGTATATGCAATGTCTACACCTTATTGTGTGGTTGATTTGGAGATCATTATACTTGTTTTGTCAATAGGTTTTTTTAGAATAATAATTCAACTGTAACATCCAAATTTCCAAACCAAAATTTTCATTTTTAAATTCTTGTAATAAAGTTGTTCATAAAAATCATCTCAAGAAAATTACAAATGTCAAATACAGGACATTATCAAAATATCAGAGTGTCCAAAAATATCTAAAATCATAAACTGCAGGTGAATGTGTACAATCAATCATTCTCCTTCCCGTGGTCCTTTGAAGTACCTGAAACACATTTAATTAACAACTGTAAGCACGAAGCTTAGTGAGTTCCCCAAAATACCATATAAATCACAACACAAAATAAACACTTATAGGTTATCAGCAACTCTGCAGACTACCTGAAGTCTCAATGGACAAACAACACGCCCTGTGGGTTATCAACAACCCTGGAGACTACCCAAAGTCTCAGTACACAATGTAACACATATCACAGTAATAGCATATAAACCCAACTGGTTATCATATATATATATATATATATATATATATATATATATATATATATATATTCTACCACATAGGTAAGAATAGTGATGAGACTCACCTCGCTCAGATGACTGATAGAACTCACACCCGAAATGCCGGAACTAGACTCCGCATAATAGTTACACCAATTAACCCTAATTAATAATTAATGTAATTTTCCATACTCCACTAGTCCCAAGCCAAGTCTAATCCACATTTAGGGCAAAAGGCCATTTTACCCCTTCCAAGATCAAATCCCTCACAAGTTCCCTTAAAGGCACAATTAGATAAAAGTCAAAGAAAGTCAACACTTGGCCTTATGTGCGGCGTACTCAGCTTTACATTGGGCGTAGAGCACACGACTGGAAGGAAACGGGATCGCAACTGGCTATGCTAGGCGTAACTAGAATTACGCTCGGTGTACGTGATCTCAACTCAAAATCCAACTTTTAAGGTCTTAATCATTAAGACACTTTACCCCAAGCTCAGATCTGACCCTAAAAGATGTCCTAATCCATAAAGTCTCTGATAAGCCTTTTCATGGGTAAAGAGAGCTTAATCCCAAAACCCTAACTTCTAACATCACCAAAAACTCCATAACTCATGCATGGATGAAAAGGAAAGGATCAAGCTTGCATTTTTATGACACTATGCACCCTAAAACGTCTGAAAGGACAACTCATATGCTTTGGAGTATTCCATACTCACAAAGATCAAGGTTTTGGGACAGAAAGAACATAAATCTAAGCTTAAACAAGATCTAGGAAAACAAGCTCAAAGGTATTTACTTTATACCTTTAATAGATGAAAAAAGAGATGTAGATTTTGGATCCAAAAGCTTGAATGCACCACCACTTCTTGAATGATATTCCTTTACTACCAATAACACTCAAAAATCACTCAAAAGATTCAAATCTCACTTACAAGGGCTATGGTTTCGATTTTAAGGTTTAGAGGAGTAGAGGCTGGTCATACAAATGTCCAAGGGGAAATAAGATGCTTAAATATGGGACACAACCCTAAAAATTTAGGGTTTAAGGGCAGCACGAGTATTCCTGACGTACTCACGTGTACGCCCAACGTACTCAACCTCCGTCACGATCCACTTATGGCTTTATGCCCACTATAAGGACTAGATTTGCAAAACAATTTCATTTTTAGGTTAAAAGTGGAAATACCTGGAAACGGGTGTTACAATTCTCCCCCACTAGAATCAGACTTCGTCCTTGAAGTCTACCTCCATGTATTACAATTCTCCCCCACTAGAATCAGACTTCGTCCTCGAAGTCTATCTACAGGTATTACAATTCTCCCCCACTAGAATCAGACTTCGTCCTCGAAGTCTACCTCTACGAAGAGATCAGGATAATGCTCACACATCTCAGCCTCGGGCTTCCAAGTCCACTCAGAGCCTTATCGATGTTGCCACTACACTTTGACCAAGTTCACTACCTTGTTCCTCAAGGTATTCACCTTCCTATCCAGAATCGTCACCGGTCTCTCGATGTAATTCAAGTGACTATCAACCTGAATGTACTCCAAAGGAACCACAACTGTCTCATCGGCCATACACTTCCTCAACTGGGAAACTTGGAAGGTGTCATGAATCTGGCTCAACTCCTCAGGCAGCTCTAACCAGTATGCCACCTTGCTCACTCGGACTATCACTCTAGAAGGGCCAATAAACCTGGGGCCCAGCTTGCGCCGCTTCCTAAATCGGATAACAACTTTCTAATGTAACTCTTCTGGTGGCTTTGGGCCGTCAGCAATCTATGTTTCACTTGCTGAATAAGCTCTATCGTATTGAGCACTATCTCAGTGCTCCCGATGACTCTCTTCCCGACCTTTCCCCAACAGATAGGAGTCTGACACTTCCTCCCATACAAGAGCTCGAAGGGAGGCATGCCAATGCTTGCATGATGGCTGTTATTGTAAGAAAACTCAGCCAAAGGAAGGTAGGAGCCCCAACTCCCACCAAAATCAATGATGCATGTCTGCAACATATCCTCAAGCATCTATATAATCCGTTCTCTCTGTCCATCTGTCTGTGGATGATAGGCGGTACTGAAATGTAATCGGGTGCCCAATTCCTCGTGAAAGCTCTTCCAAAATCCGGAAGTAAAACGAACATCCCGGTCTGACACAATAGAAGTCGGCACCCCATAACGTGTCGTAACCTCTCGGACATAGATCACGGCTAATTTCTCAGTAGAAGAGTTCTCACTTATGGCTAAGAAATGATCACTCTTCCTCAAACGATCAACTATCACCCATATAGCATCAAAACCCTTTGCAGTCTTTGACATTTTTGTAATGAAATCGATCTTGATTTGCTCCCAATTCCATAGTGGAACCTACAAGGGCTACAACTTGTCGTGAGGGCGATGATGTTCGGCCTTGACCTTCCGGCAGGTCAAGAACCACTCCACGAACCATGCCACATCCCTCTTTATATACAACCACTAATAGTTATTTTCAGGTCAAGATACATCTTTGTAGCCCCCTAATGAATGGATAATCTCGAATTGTGGGCCTCATCCATTAACACCTGTCGAGCCCTTTAAGCATATGGTACCCAAACCCGTCCATGAAGAGTCAATAACTCCCTACTGTTGATATCAGAGGCTGAAACTTATCTAACTACCCACTCACTCTTCCGATTCTCCTCCTTGATGGCCTTCGACTGTGCATCTCTGATCATCTCCAAGACTGGAGTCATCATGGTCATCATCAAACACACATCCCGAATCGGGGCACTAACTGCCCTCTGGCTCAAGGCATCGGCCACCATATTGTCCTTGCCCGGGTGATACAAAATCACGCAATCATAATCTTTTACTACATCAAGCCACGTCCTCTGCCTCGTGTTCAGATTAGGTTGATTCATAAGATATCACATACTCT